TCGCCCTCTGCTGCCACCACACCACACACCCATCCTAGCCCGCCCAGCTGACGCCGCTCTGGCTCACGCACACCCTTCAACCGACGTGAAGGCCCTTTCTTCTCCGCACCCCCGGAGACTCTGAGCGAGAGAGAGAGAGCGCCCTCGACTGGCCAGGCCTGCCGCCATAGCACCCGCACCCACACCCACACCCACCACCACCAACAACACCACGCCCGCGCCCTCGAGTGCATCGCCATCTGTGCTGCCTCCTGGTCGCCCGTCTCGCCCTCGTCGCTCCCGCTGCTCGCCTCGCAGTGCTCGCATCCACGGCTGCCCTGCGCCGTCCAGCAGCCTCGTCGACGTGCTTGACCCGCTAGGCTGCGCAGAGCGAAAGCAGCGTCACGACGTCGCTTCTCGAATGCCCCGGGACGACGGCCCAACCATGTCTACACCCTCCACCGCCACGGCCACACTCCCGCCCCATCATCAGTTTTATTCGCACCACCACGCTTACCAGCCAAACATCTCCAATGCCCAGGTTGCCAACGGCTCTGGTCGGATAGGCAATTCGCTCTACAACGGCTACGCTAGCGGCTCCTCGACCTCTGACCTGCGCCGAACCGCTGCATCTGCAACTGCAACTGCCCACAACAGACAACCCCCCCAGCTGCCCCCCATCCCTCACCCAGCCCCGATCGACATGAGCGCGACCGACGCCGGCTCGGCTCATCGACGCCGGAACCCGGACTGGGCCGATTTTTACAAGAACGGCATCCCCAGAGAGGTCATTGTTATCGACGACGACGACGATGATGACGATGCTGCACACGCTGCCGCAAACTCGTCGGCGCGCCATGCAGATAAGAAGCGCAAAACAACCGCGTCGACAGCCTACGACCCCGTCTACAACCAGCATACCTCGTACTCGACAACCCAGACGCCCTACTACGACTCGCCCAACCACTCGCTATCCACCGACAGGACAACCTCTGCCCTCAACACCACTGCGCCCACCTCGCTCGGCTCCCAGGTCAGCAACGGCCACAACATCTCGCCTCACGACACCACAGCCGCTGGCCAGAAACGGAAGCGCACACGCGCCGTAGTCCAGGACGAAGCAAAGCAGGCCAAGCGACGAGAGCTAGACCAACATGACGACCCTTTTAGCCTCTACCAGCCACCGCCCAACCCAGTCATCAAGGCCAAAGATGTTTATGTCCAGGTCATCCAAGACGTAAGTCACACACACACACATGCCCGCCTCTTGTTTCAAAACACCAGATACTGACGCGACTCAGAAATCATACAACAAGGATCAAAAGGTCGACGACGAAGACGGCCACTACATTGTAGTCCCAGATGCCGACCTCACCGAGCGATGTACGTTGCTCCCACACCGCCATGTGTTACTGTGGATGCTAACACCTGACCAATAGATCAAATCACAAAGCTGCTCGGCCAGGGCACGTTTGGCAAAGTCGTTCAGGCCTACGATAGGCGAAAAGGCACAAACTGCGCCATCAAAGTCATCAGATCAGTGCCCAAATACCGAGACGCCAGCCGTATCGAACTGCGAGTGTTGTCGACACTGGCTTCCAACGATAAGCACAACATTAACCGATGCATACACCTGCGAGATTGCTTCGACTACCGAAACCATATCTGCATTGTTACTGACCTCTATGGCCAAAGTGTGTTTGACTTTCTCAAGTCCAACGGCTTTGTGCCATTCCCCAGCTCTCACATCCAGAAATTCGCCAAGCAGCTTTTCACCAGCGTCGCCTTTCTACATGATCTCAACCTGATCCACACGGACTTGAAGCCAGAAAACATCTTGCTTGTCAACAATAACTACCAGACTTTCACGTACAATAGAACTGTACCATCATCGTCTACCACGGTCAACAGGACCGCACGACATCGCAAGGTCCTTCTTGACCCGGAAATCAGACTCATCGACTTTGGATCGGCCACCTTTAACGACGAGTACCATTCGTCTGTTGTGTCAACCCGTCACTACCGTGCGCCAGAGATTATTCTCAACCTAGGCTGGAGCTTCCCCTGCGACATTTGGAGTATCGGATGCATCCTGGTCGAGTTCTTCACTGGCGACGCCTTGTTCCAGACGCACGATAACCTTGAGCATCTGGCCATGATGGAAGCCGTCTGCAGCGGCAAGATTGACCGGGATATCGTGCGAGCAGTCTATAAGCAAGACCGTGGATCATCACGCAACTCGGCAAGCTCGTAAGTAGATACATGCGCTGTGCTGAAGAAAGTTTCTTTGCTGACATGACTAGTGCTGCGAGATATTTTAAGAACTACAAGCTCGACTACCCCAATGCCGAGACCAACAAAGCGTCCAAGAAATATGTCAAGGCGATGAAGAAGCTCCCCGTACGTCCAGCCACAATGCATGACTTGACGACGACTAACGTGTACAGGAAACCATCCCTGCCCACACCGACTTCAACAGGCAATTCCTCGATCTACTACGACGCATCTTCGTGTATGATCCCAAGAAGCGAATCACGGCCAAGGAGGCTCTGCAACACCCTTGGTTCAAGGAATCGCTCATGGACGATGGAACAGAGGCCCACAAGATCAAGCTGGAGCGGGAGAAGAAGGCCCGCCGGGCGGAAGAAGAGCGCCGATTCCGTGAACAGCAGCGACAGTACTGAGGCGGCCTCGTCTTTGACGTTCTTGGACAGGAACGTCTTTGTATAGATATCGAGTTCCGCCGTGTTGGTGAGGGATGCAATAATGGCGGTGGTTTTGTCTTTTGCTTCACATCTACCGCATTTACGACAGCGACATGACGCATGGAGAGAAAGGTTTACTCTAGGTCTCATTCCGGACTTATTGGCGTTATGTGTGTTCTTTTGTTATCTTGGATTACCAATTATTCTCCCATCTTTCCTTTTTGTTTGGTTTCCGCGCGCCCACGGAAAAGTATTGTTTGTCTTGCGCGCTTAGCATAAGAACAAATCTGTATACCACAATGTCTGCACGTGCAGCTTCGGGAGGGTGGCAGGGAAAGCTTGTACTTGAGCGGTGGCTCTCAAGCCACGGTTCGTCGTCGTCGTCATCATTATCATCACGGGGAGAGCGCCATGTTGTAGCATGCACTAGACAAATGTCTCGTGCTAGACATGTGGTTGCGTTGTATTATATAGGATTGGAAGAGGTGGTGCTAGAGGCACTGTATTGCGTATCACGATAGTTGAATAGGCTGTAAGCAATCAACTGCAAGTATGCATTCCTCGCTTGTCAGCAATCATTACGCATCTTGTTTCCGTTTGTTCGAGATGGATGATCAAAACATATAGTAGTATTCGGGAATAATAACCGCTGTCTCCGAAATCATCATTTCCCCCTCACGTCTCACCTGCCGGCTCGCAGTCTTCCGCACGCAAGGGTTCCAAACGAAGCGGCCTTAGCGAGGCCCGCCTAGCGCGTGTGTGACCCTGGTCTATCGTCAGACGCCCGTTGGGGTAAACACACGTCCCCTCTCGGCGCGTGTCGCAAAACATCCCGGTGGGCATTTGCGACAACAGCAGCAACGCGAACGGCGACAGGGACAAGGGACAAGATGGCGAGCGCAAAGCAGCAGGAGAATATGCTCCTTACCGAGCACTTTACTTGGCCTCCGATTGTATGTGTGATCCCGCAGTGAAAGGTGGTGATAGTGTGGATTTGAGCAAATGTTTGGCGGGGATGCATGTTTCCCAATTCCTAAAGTCATGAATGCCAAAGAGAAAAAAACGGGCGCATACGGCGCATGGTATAAGAAAATGATCTGACAGTGTAAATCTTCCAGTCCCTAATCGACGACATTATCAACGCTGTCAACGAAGTCCTATACCGCTGCACCGACTCCTTCGAAACCGGCCTCTCATCCGCGGACCCAGCCCTACTCGGCTTCGCAGACCTCTACGCCTCGCAAGGTCGCACACCGCAGAAAGATGAAGACGGAAACAATGTATATCCTGAGGCGCGACTGGAAATCGAAGAAGGAGTCTTGAAACTCGAGACACTCATGGAAAATGCGGTAGACAAGAACTTTGACAAATTGGAGATTTGGACGCTGAGAAATGTGTTTGCGCTTGGAAGAGGGAAAGGCGAGGATGAAGGACTAGGAGATTGGGTCAGATTAGGACATTACGAAGTATGTATTTCCTTCTTTATACACCATCAAGGAGTTGGGAAATCTAACATACAAAAAAAACCACCAGAACATCCAACCCCCCTCCAAAGACACCAGCCTAACGCCCGAATCCCTCTACACCCTCCGCCGCAAACTCCTCGAAACACGCACTCTCCATGCCGCCCTAATCGCAGAAAAAACCCGCAACGAAGCCCAAATCGCGCGCCTAAAATCCCTCCTCAGTCCCCCATCTTCTTCTTCTTCTTCCACGCTGCCAAAGCGCGAAACACGCAGTTCAACAACCTCAGCTACAGAAACCTCAAGCAACACCGACACCACCACCACCACCACCGCACCCTTCGCCTTCCTCTCCTCAACCCCTGCAGCCCAAGCCCTAGGCATCCAAACCACCCCCCAGACAAGCGATAAAGCCGCAACAACAACATCTCCACCACTAACCACCCACACCACATTCACAACAACACAACTCCCCTACCTCCGCCAACTCGTCGCATCCCTAAAACCCCATCTCGCCTCCTCCACCTCTTCATCATCGACAGCAGGAACGCAAGATACATCACAAGACCGCAGTGCCCAGCGTCGCCTCTACATCGAAGCCCAGTCTAAACGCGTGCTGGAGCGGCGTGGGGTCGATACTACGGATGGGGTCGAGGGCGCGTGGGAGGTTGGTGGGACGAGGGTTAGGGGCGAGGAAGTTAGGGGGTTGGAGGGCTTGTTTCCGGGGAACAAGATGGAGAAGGAAGGGGAGGTGGAAGAGGGAGATAAGATGGATTTGAGTTGAGTTTGAGGTAAGGGGGAATGATTTTATTTTTCTTTACTGTAGGGCGTTGTGCGAGGGTGAGGGATCACAGTCGGGGCGTATGGGTATGGAAATAAATGGTATGACTTGTTCGTTATTTTTTTGAAAGAAAGAAGAATGGTTGAATATGTGGGGATTGTTAATGAGCTTGGGTATACTAGGGGTTTCTTGGGGGGTTTTTTTTTAAATATGCTACTACGTGCATGACATACCTCATGTCATTTCTTTCCATCAACTCGTCACATCCGTACATTTCCTATTCATACCATCATGAGTCATCCATCATCTCCTTCCACCCCATACACATCCACCCATATCTCAATACTCCACAAGCTTAATCCTCTGCAGCAACTCCTCAGGCAACTCGCTCTGACTCACAATACCCATCCTAAGGGCATCCCCCCAGACAAACATGGCCCGGTCATTAGCATACTGCAAGTAATCGAATTCCTCCTCGTCCTGCGGCTTGAAAAGGTCAGCCTCATCTTCCATCTGCGCCTGCGCCTGAATCTTTGCCGCCGTTTCTTCACTCACTGTCCCCGTGCTCTTTTGCTCTGCTTTAGCTGCGGCTTCCAGCTCGGCAGTTGCGCTGTCTAGCGTTGCTGCCTCTGCGCTTGGGTTGTCGCTCGTCTTATTGTCTCCGCTCTCCTCGTCAAAGTCAGGGAGGCCCGGGATGTGTGCTTGGACTATGCCCCAGGCAACCCACATGGCCGAGTTGGCGAGACGCCAGAGTTTGGTTTCTGCCAGGAGGCGGCGTGTTTCCTCTTCAATCTGTCGCTCGTACTGGGCTTCCTGCTCTTGATACTTTTCGCCTGGAGGAGCTCGTGAGTCGAGCATAAAGGCGGAGATGCTGCTTGGGGCGGCTGTTGCTGCCAGGGCAGTCGTGCTACCGGAAGAGGGAAGCGGTCCGAGGTGTGGTGTAGGAGGATTGGATGTGTATCCGCCACTGGCCTTGTACGAGGGGTTGTGCATCAAGTACGCCCGGATAAAACGATGCTGCTCTTCGATTGTTGGATAATACTTAGTGTTGCAACGCCAAGGAGCTTCTGTATCGTGGTAGTTGTACGTCCATTCCGTCTGGAACATCATGTCAGCTTGTCCTTAGATCATGGCCATGCCCATCGGGCGCTGAATAAGAGTTGACGAAACGGATGAACCTTACGAAGTGATTGGCAAATTCCAACCCAGGAAGATTGGCGTTTGCATACTCGAAATCGATAACCACCAGCTGCTTGTGCTGATTTGCCGGTAGCATCAGTGGCGACTCACCTTCTGGCATCATGCGAAGGATATTTCCATACTGGGTCTGTAATCGAATTAGATTATACCATTTCCGCTTCGCGTTGCGACTCACATCATTATGGGCAAAGATCATGCGCTCGTTGATCTTATCAAGACCGCCATACTGATCTTCTAGCCACTTCCGGTACTTGTATATCATTTGCTTGAACACGGGCCATTCGGCGCCGCACACATATCCTCGCTTCTTCCATTTGTCCGAGGAGGCTCTGGAGAGGCCCTGGCTGCTCTCGCGGACCTGTTGATCCAACCAGGTCACAATATGTTCGCAGCGATTGACCCACTTGTCCCAGTTTTGCCAAACAAACGGACCAGCCTCTCGCTCTTTCTTCAGCAGATCAATACCCTCGTGAAGTTCTCGCATACGCTTTGCTATTTGCACCGAGGTTTCTGGGTTACGTAGCTCCTTGGAAGTAAGTGGTTGGGCATGCAGGAACTCTTCAAATCGACCATTGCCAAAAGTACCGAGCAAGCGTGGGCCAATACGTTTGCGGGCAAGTCGCGTCAAGATCTGTAATTCCGACTCTCGGTCGATCAGGTGTTCTACCTGTGGGCCATAGATACGAAGTAGGAGCTTACTGAAAACAAAGATGTTAGAAAAATGCGGAGTGGCCTGCAACAACACTTACGGTGGAGGATTTCTGGGCTTTGGTGGACCATCTTCGCTCTGCTCGGGAGCCGGTAGATTCTTAGGAGGAGAGACGACGTAAACGGCGTTTGTAAGCGCACCGCTCAATCTTTGTACGTTGATTTCGTTGCTCAGCTCGCTGGGCACCTTCCTCCATCCCTTCAATTTCAACGTGTGGGTAAGACGAAGAATTTCAGCTCGAAATTTGGACCAAGCCTCTTTCTCCTTGTCCGCTACATCAACGGTGGACTCGGCTCCAGGCTCGTCGACGTTGTATGCCATTGTCTTTGAATTGTCCAAAGTGGCTTCACAACTAGGGACGAGCTGATCTACCGACTCAAAGTAGTCCGAATCAAGAGAAATTGCAGAGTGTCGCTTCAAGCCAATGGACGACCTGTGCATGTGATGCCTCTTCTTGGCTTCGGAAAGCTTCAAGCTCATGTTCCTTTCGAGAATTTGTGCCAGTTGAGTGAGTGCATCCTCGCCATGGGAGGAGTCAGAGTCGCTCCTGTGATGAGAGATGGACTTCTCGAGTGCTTCTGCTGTGGCGCTCTCAGACTCATGGTCAATGACACCCGCTTTGGCAGCCTTGCGTCTTGCCCTTCGTGCATGGCGCCGGCTTCGCTCCTGCTTGAGCCAGGTGCCTACCTGTTTCAACAGGTTCTCATGGGCTTGGTGGCTATGGGAAGCGGCATCAACTGAGCCTTCTGGAAGTAGCGAGGTCAAGGCAGTGCTGGCGTCGACCACTCCAGATTTGGATGACCCCTCGCGTTCATAGGAAGGACGGCCGGACAGGCGCTTTTTACTGACACTTGCTGGAAAGTGCCTGGGAGGCTTGTCAAGATCCAAGTAGTCTTTTTGGTCAAGCTCCTTGTTCTTGCCGATGATCAATGGGGAAATTGTGCTGTCATCGGGAAAGGATACGACTGCAGATGTATAGTAAGCAACTGCGCTGGATCTGAATTGCTTGCAAAGCGCAGAATCTGTACAAAAGGGAGTACAGTCTCTGTTCCCAGGCGTCGTCGATTTCAAGTAGGCTACCCGAGGAGCTAGAATACAGCCACACGTGTGTTACAGAAAGCCTAAAGCCTAGGCGTCTTCAAGACCGCGGAATGATTGTTGCACATGAACCAAGTACCACCCAAAGCCCGTACCCCGCCATACGTGCAATGTAACAAAGTGATAGAGTTTGCGTGCAACCAGGAAACAAGAGACGGATTGACTAACCTTTGCTTGAGCGCGGCGATGTACCGTCGTCCAAAGTGTTGTTGCGCGAGAGGGCTAGAGAGTCGCTTGACTGTGGGCCAGCGGGCTGCTGGGCCTGCCAATTGGAAGAAGAGGCCATGGTCTGGTAATGGTCGAGGGGAGTCTGGAGCAGTCCGGCTAGGTAAGTAAGCCGGATCGGCGAGAGAGATAGCAAAAGTGTTGGGAACCCTGTTCCCGAGGCGTGAGAGTCTGTGACAACAGCCGCTCCTAAATGGTGGCAGGAGGATTGGGCCGCTTGGTGGGCGGGCGGTTGTGTGTGAGCGTTATCGATACCCAGGCCAGGGCAGGCAGGACAGGATACGCGAGTAAGGGGTCCACGTGCCAAGCTGATTGGCGGTCAGGATCAGCTGGGAAAGCAGCGTCATGGCATACAAGACAGCGACGGGGATGCAGAGAAACCACCAAAACACGCGTCGAACCCATTGTGACTCAGGGCGTCATGGCCATGGCAAGCCCAAGGTACATCCCGGCGCCCCTCTTGCTGCGCGCTGCTTTGACAAGAGGTTCCATGTGTGGCGGAGGTGGGCTTGGCAGTGTACAAACAGCCAAACCACAACGAGATAACCAAGCAAAACACCAGTGGACAGAAAACCTGCAATGTGTAATGTGACGAAATTCAGTACGTAGTGCACACGTGGCCAAGCCTCCGTGCCATCTTCTCTTGTGGTAATGAGCAACAAATCTAACTAGTAAAATACTCGTACAGTGCAAGTGCAGCTTTGCAATCCACATGCAAGCCGCTTTTGGACGTGGCGACGGAGCCCTGCAGAGGCCTATCCAAGGCCTACTTACGTCACAACGCGTAGTCAAACGCCAAACTCCAAAACGCCGCGCTGTAACAAACACAATATCCCTGTTTTTTCGCCATGCACTCAAGTACGTGTAGGTGTATACAATTTCCTTGCTAGTGCCACATGCGCAACCTGGCGCCTGCACCTGTTTGGTGTCCCGCTCTGCTCGTTCATGTTGCCCATTCCACTGTTTCCAATGCAAGCATGACCAATAGTAGAGTCGATGGTAGAATCCATACCACGTAGCTCTGAAACAGGATCCGCGACATGGCGCCCATGTACACATTGTTGATCTGGCAGATCTGCGCAAGTTGAAGCGCGCTGGGTGCGCCGCTGAGAAGGAAGCAGACAATAATGAAAATCGGGTCGTCGAGGATGCTGACGGGCACATACTTGGCAGTCAGGGCCAGCATTGGTGCCATGAGAAGCGTTGGGATGAGCATGCGGCTGATAAGCGAGGCAATGACCAACTTCCTCTCTACGCTGGGGTCCTCGATTGAGTTTTGGTCTTCCTTTGGTAGCGTGTTGCGGGCAAGATTGGCGCCCAGCACAACCAGAATCAGGGGCACAGCCACTTGTCCGCTTTGATTTACAGCGCGCGTAACCGACGTGTTGATGAATGTTCCAGGGGTGAAGAACAAGCGTTGTAGCGGTGGAATAGAGGCGACGAAGATGGCAATCAGCATGGCCCAGAGGGGAGGGTTCATAAAGTCCCACACACCCCTGGCGAACTTGGACAAGCCCGAACCGATCTTGGACAGGGGTCCTTGGAGCCCCTTGGGCAAGCTGTTGAAGACGCGGTTGCCAGCGCGTGTCGTTGACACGGATACGGAAGTCGCCGAGCGTTGGAGTGCCAATCGAGCTCGCGTGGGCATACCCTTGATGCCCTTGGGCGTGTCTTGTTGTTTCTTGTGAGCTGCGAGCACGCCATTGAGGTGTCCGTTTGCGAAAGTGCCCTTGGGGTTTCCGCTCATGTCGCCAGCTCCGGGAACTGTTGCGTTGCCATTGGTGGGTGTAATGAATAGGGCCGCCGCTTGAGCCTGGCCACGGTTGAAAATAGAATCCGAGTCTGAATCGCTGCAGTCGGCAGAGGTGGCGTAGCTCGTGACATTTCCAGATTCGTAGTCGGAATGTGAGTCGTCGAGCAGGCGCTGCGTCTCGTCGTCACTGTACTCTCCGCTCTCGAGCGCATGGTCTCTTCCTTCATCGTCCTTGTAAGCGCTAGCGGGGGCCAAGAGCACGTTGAAGCCCCAAGTCCACCGCACGAGCTGACCGAGCTGCTGGAAGATGAGGAGGTAGAGGATACCGCGGGCACCGACTTCGTTGTCGTTATCGCCTGGTATTCTGTCCCAGTGCAGGCCGCGGAGTGTTTTGGAGAGAGAGATGACGAGAGAGATGGGCAGCGAGTTGGAGTTACCAAAAACCTAAGACTTGTAAGTTTGCGCCGGATTACAGCGGATTCAAAGTTAGACGTACTGCCATGGCGACGACAAAGTTGGAGGCCCTTTTGTTGAATTTGAACATGCGTGAGACGGCAAGGGCGGCAATGTAAGATATGAGTGTCTGAACGACAAAAATGACGGGAATGACTGCAAGCTCAGCCAACTTCTCAGCCGTCAATTGAGAGGCGAGCTTGGTGAAGACTGCGAGGCCGAGGGTCAGGTCGAGTGGGCGTAGATAAGGAGGGCCGTCACTCACTGAGGCAGGGCGTGAACAATTGGGTGTTGAGGTTTGCAAGAAACTTTTGGCTCTCTGCGTCGAATTGGCCCATTCGAGCGACGACATAGCCCGGGGCGCTCACACAGACGACCTCCATGACGGCCTCGAAGACGAGGAGGGCCAAATTGGCAAAGTCGGGATGCGAGGGATGGGCATTCTCGAGCGAGGTGAACATGGCGCCGGTGAGGGAGTCTTGGGACTGAGAGGCGAGGGCGACAAAGGGAGAGGAGGAAGGGGAGAAGGAGCGCAGGCGCAAGGCCGTGGGCGCGGAGAAGAAGGACATGGTGAAGCAGCGTGTGGTGTCGAGGCAGCAATCAATGGAATGGAGGCGGAAACGGTCCAGGTATATCTTGAAGCGCAGGCTGTCTTGGCTGCCGGACGCGCTACCACAGCGACCAGGACGTCACGGCCGGGCGCCCGCTCTCAGCCCGCCCGAGTGCAGGTCCAACCGAACGAGCGTGGGCAAGCGTGTTTGGGCGTGTTTGGGACGTGTCGGGGCCCTGCATGCTGCAGAAACATGGCGCCGCCGGCCATGGCGTGCGCAGTCGGAGGCCATGGCGAAGAGAAGATGCACGCCGCCTGGCCAACCAGCTGCCTCTTCCAACTGCCACTACGCCTGCATCCATGGAGATAGCAATCCGGCCGTGTACGTAGCGTAGCTATCGACCTACTAGACTACTTACGCCCCCATCCAGCACTGTCGCTGCGCCACACATGCAATTCCGCCCGCCGCCGCTCCAGACGTCTGGGCGCGTCGGCCCTGCGCACCCATCATCGGGCCTGGGCGCGCTCATCGGCCCTTTGTCTGAACTTGGTGGGCTCTGCACGCTGCACTTTGCCTCCTGCTTACTGCCCATCCGATAATCAGTCAGGGCATCCTTCTGAGTCGCCTGTCCGCAATATTGCCTGGCCAGCAAAGTGTCTCGGCGCGTGCCGTTTGCCTCTCCAAGTACGCACTCCCGCTACGTACCATCATGTGTGAGTATGCACGTGTATGGACATGTGCAAGTAAACATGGTTATATCAACGTATGCATACACGTAAAACCAGATATGCATGTTTAGCACACGCATTTTCGACCATGCCAAATCCCATGCAAACATCTCCGTATCTGCAGCCCACCTGCCAGTCTCCTCTCAGCTCTCCCGTGCTCTCGTGGGTGCGTGCACTAGAGCCTCCACACTGGCGCCATCTTGGTCTCTGCACCATCACGTCACAGCGCGCGAACTTGCACGCTACAACCCACAACCACCACACCTCCACTATCCTCGTCCTCCCCCGGCATCGCCGCCACGTCCCTTCTCGCGCTGCAGTCGCAGCTACCCATTCTACTACTTCTCCCTTGCACCCGCATCACTACTCCCTCCACCCTCGTTTGCTCCCTCCTCCACCCTCACGTACCCCGCCAATTCAGGCCTGTGACACTCGTCACCCCTTCGCCATGGCAGACTCCAATCCCTCCACTCCCGACGTCGAAGTCGATTCCGACACCGTCTTCGACAGCCCCTCTCCCTCGCCTGTGCCCTCTAGTCCTACTGCCGATGCCTCGCTGCCTGAAGACCCCTCCGCCGAACGCCCCGCCCCGCGAAAAGCCTCCTCGGCCACCGCAACTACCAACATGACATCTTCCTCCACGCCCCTCGGCAACATCAATGCCGCCAGAAATCCCCGCCCCGCAAACCCGCCCACCATCTCCAGCAGAGGCAGTGGCCTGAATGTCTCCCAAGATATCCTTGCAAGAATACAAGCAGTACATTTGGGGCGCAAGGGCGCCCCGCCCACCGGCTTGCCGGGGAGAGGGCCTGCGCCTCAGAGCCCAGGCCCATCTCTCGACAACCGCAACCCAATGTCTCCAGGCGGAAATCTCGGCGGCGTCCCCCCTAACTTCCGGATGCCTGCAAGACCACCGACGACTAACTTTCAGTCTGCGCCTGCTATTCCGGGCCGCATGCCCGAACCCAAAAAGTCCATGGCTGAGCGACGCGGTATGCAGCTCCCGGGCGGACTGCCTGGCACTAGCCCTGCTGCTCCTCCTGCTGGCAGGAAGAAGCCTGGCCTGACCCTGGGCATGATGAATGGCGGTGACAAGGCCCAAAACGACGCGCAACCGCACAAGCAAGAAACCCAATTCGACCAGTTTTCGCAGTACATCGACACCAAGACTGGAAGCTTGAAGTTTGCGGGCAAGGCTATCCTCAACTCAGAGGGTGTACAGTTTGCCAGCGGATCCACCTTCAACATCTCACTTGATGAAGTCGACACGCTCGACGAGCTTGGCAAGGGTAATTATGGCACAGTATACAAGGTCAGGCATAGCAGACCCCGAATGCGAAAGCCAGGCCAGGGCCTCGCCGGAAACAAGGCTGCGCCAGGCTCACCATCTCGCAAAAACTTTGACGAGGAATCGAGTCCTTCGAGCGCAAAGCCCGCTGCAGGCACGGGCATCGTCATGGCAATGAAGGAAATGAGACTGGAACTCGAAGACTCAAAGTTTGCTACCATCATCATGGAGCTGGATGTCCTCCATCGCTGCAGATCGCCTTACATTGTCGACTTCTACGGTGCCTTCTTCCAAGAAGGGGCCGTGTATATTTGCATGGAGTTCATGGACGGTGGATCCATAGACAAACTCTACGCTGATGGTGTACCAGAAGGCGTGCTAAGGAAAATCACTCTGGCAACAACCATGGGCCTGAAATCATTGAAGGATGAACACAACATCATCCACCGCGATGTCAAGCCTACCAACATTCTTATGAACACCAGGGGCGCCATCAAGATTTGTGACTTTGGTGTGAGCGGCAACCTCGTCGCCAGTATTGCCAAGACCAACATCGGATGCCAGAGTTACATGGCACCAGAGAGAATATCCTCGGGCGGAATTGCGCAAGCAGGTGCCAACCCTGGAGGTGGTACATACAGTGTGCAAAGTGACATCTGGAGTCTGGGACTGACCATTATCGAATGCGCGCTTGGACAATATCCTTATCCACCCGAGACGTACAACAATATTTTCAGTCAGCTTAGTGTAAGCATTACAAAACGCCTTTCTTTCTGGCAGGCCGATTACTGACTTTCTTTAGGCTATCGTCGATGGTGACCCACCGGACCTACCTGACGAAGGATACTCTGATGCGGCCAAGAACTTTGTACGGGGCTGTTTGAACAAGATCCCCAACCTGCGACCAACCTACGCAATGCTGCTCCAGCACGCATGGCTCGCCCCTCTTGCCAAGCCTGACACCATCACAGAAGAAGATGAAGAAGAGGTCGCGGCTGCGCAGGAAGCTACCCCAGATCAAGCGGCTGGGGACAAGGGACCAGCCCAGGCTATTGAAGTGGTAGAAGACCAAGAAGTTGCAGACTGGGTGAAGGCTGCCCTTGAGAAGCGAAGAAGTGGAAAGATGAAGGGTGTTGAAAAGCCCGCACTGCATGCCGCACCGCTAGATGCAGGAATACAGAGCCCTTCGCAGAACGGCGCAAACGGCTCAGTTGCGGCAGAGTCAGCAGAGGTTGCAGCGTAGGTCGTCTGATGTTTCTGTTGAACACAAAAGCCAGACACGTAAATGTGTCGAAGCCTTGTATCTTTCCTCGAGCAGTTGTTGGCTCTTATGTCTTGGCTAGGAAGAGAAGGCAGTATAGTATGCCATCTTGTACACTTTCGGCGTTGCACCGGCGCATTACTGGGAATGATTGACATGAAATATTCAAGTCGGGGTATTGAGCGTGGAGAATACATGCATCTAGCATAGCATACATCTTATCCAGTTTAATTGGTATCACATTTGCCGTGACAGACGTGATGTGCGTGGACTAAATCTAATGACATATGTGTTTAGTCGACTTTTGCACTTCTGGACAGGTTGCAGTCAATTGTCAACTGCAACCGAACCATGTCTTGTCATATTCTCTGAACTTAGGTTTCTGGCATGTCGCGTCACCCGCAATCACATCTTTTTCTACCCTACTAAAGTGACCATTCTCCCCTTCCCAAATAAAACATCTATGTCCTCGAGGGTTGATTTCGTCGTGACGTAAATGCGACGGCGCGCTGGCACGTGACGGCACGACCCCTGCTTAGCCAAGCGTAATCGCGGCGGCCATGTGTCGTGGTGCAGCGGGAAAGAACACAGTGGTCGGAACAACTTCAATAAGTGGCCACGACTTTATTTCGTACGCCCCGCCCACGCTTTTTTCGTAATGCCACAGGCCTAGGACACACCCTCTCTCTCTTTCTACTGCTTCCCAAACTCGAGGCTACCCCGCTATTTCTTCTATTCGCTCTCTCGCAACATCTCCACTTGTCCCTAGGGACAGACATTAAACATGTCCGGCACCGACTACAATTACGATGAGCAGGTAGGGCTTGGATGCGCACACAAAATAATTCGCCTCTAACAAGTTTGCAGGGCCAGTTCTTCCCCTACTTCATCCTCACTGTCACCACACTCGTCACCGTCCCCACCACAATATCATTTCTGAGACCCAGCAAAGGTGCGCATCTTGGTTGTATTTCAATATCGCCATACTGACTATGTTCATAGAACTCGAGAACACTGGAGCGCGCATAGAGTCAGACTTCACCCCCGAACATGCAGATCTCATCCAAGGACAGCGAAAGAAGCAGAAGCGCATGGAAAGGAGGATCAAGCGTGGTCTCGTCATGGTGGGCGGTTGGGCTCTGAATGCCGCAATGGTCTACCTCATCCTAGTCACTGCAAGGACGACGCCTGACATTTGGGACCCATATGCAGTTCTCGGCGTATCAAGGGTAAGAGCGTTCTGCCTATCGCTTTGACTCGTGAACAATCATACTGACTCACAACACAGAGTGCAGATGAGAAGGCGATCAAGAGGCATTACCGAAAACTCTCTCTTTCTTTGCATCCTGACAAAGCCCGCGAGGACCCCGAGAAGAACATTACGCTGCAAACCATCAACGACCACTGGGTCGATGTCACCAAGGCCTTCAAAGCTCTCACTGACGAGGAAATTCGCAACAACTTCCTGACATACGGTCACCCCGACGGCAAACAGAGCTTCAGCATCGGCATTGCGCTCCCACAGTGGCTAGTTACCGAGGGAGCTGGCAAGTACGTCTTGTTGATCTATGCGCTCGCGCTCGGTGTCATTCTTCCCTACACAGTTGGCAAGTGGTGGTATGGAACCCAGAGGTTGACAAAAGAAAAGGTCTTGGTCGCAAGTGCGGGCAAGATCTTCCGCGACTACGACAACGACCAGGGCGAGACGGGTGTCATCTATGCGCTAAGCAGTGGAGAAGAG